CACACACACACACACACACACACACACACACATACACACACACACACACACACACAAACTGTAACCTTTAGTTCTATGGGAAAGTGGGCCATAGTTACCACTCACAGAGCACACACATTTGCCAGGCACTGTACTAAGAGTTTTACAAACATGTTTAATCCTCTAACCTTCTGAGAGTAGTATAATCATCTCATTTTATAGATTTGGGGACGAAGGTGTTATATAAGTAATACTTGTTTCAAGGTAACCTGACCTGTAAGTGACAGAACTGGGATTTGAATTCATCACTGCCTAACTTCACAGCCCATCCTCTGAACATCTACTGTCCAAAATGTTTTAGGAAGTTCATCTGGAAGCTGATTGAAAGTGCTGGGAAAGACCTAAGATAGGAAGACTACTAGAGTAGTAACGAGCATGAACTAAAGCAGTTATAGTAGGAATGGAAAAGAAAGAATCTACTATTTTGGCACTTCAAAGGGCTTCCAAATAAAGCTCAGGGCTTGGTGACTTGCTGGATGTAGGGAATGACTGTTACTTGCCTAGAAAAAAAATGCTGGAAGGAGCTGGGAGTGGTGGCTCACACAAGTAATCCTGGTACTTTGGGAGACTGAAGCGAGAGGATTGCCTGAGCCCAAGGGTTCGAGACCAGCTTGGGCAACATAGTGAGACCTCAAATCTACAATAAGAAAATTAGCCGGGTATGGTGGCGCATGCCTGTAGTTCCAGCTGCTTGGAAGGCTGAGGCGGAATGATCGCCGGAGGCCAGCAGGTCGAGGCTGTGGTGACCGTGAGTGAGTATGTCACTGCACTCCAGCCTGGGCGACTCACAGAAAAATAAAAGAAAGGAAAAATGCCCGTAGGAATAGCTTTTCTCTAATTCCTAGTTTGACAGTACACTCGACTTTCTAGATAGATGATCCAAATATCTAGGTTTGCTAGTTTCCCAAAGCACCTAATCAGGTACGGGTCACATGCAGTAGCGACAAGGCAGCCTGAAGAGCCATTGAAGAGGGAAGAAACACAAAACTGTCTGTCCTAGGAGCGCTCCTCTCCTCCTGGCAGGCGGGCACTACAAAGGGAAAGGAGGGGCTTGTCCAGGAACTACAATTCCCACAAGGCACTGGGCGGAACACCAGCGCTTCCGGCCAGAGCTTATTTCCGGTCTTTCGGGTGCTGACGCTCTCTTCCGGTCTCGGTGGCTCCAGAGAGGCATTTGGGATGCGCACGGTGAGTCTGGAGACTTATGAGTTCGAGCCGGAGAGGCGACAGTCTCGTGTCCGCGCATTATCCAGTGGCTGGGAGTTAGTTTCGGGAGGGCGGGTAGGGGAGAGAGCGCGCCGGCGGGAGGACGGGATCCCTGACAAGGGGGCGAGAGGGACCCAGAAAGGATGTGAGGGGCGAGGACGAATGGGATCCCTGGGATGGACTGGGGGTGGGGTCCGGGACGTGGGGAGGACGAGCGCGCGGTGGGATCCCTGTGGAGCTGGGCGGAGGAGAGGAGCGACAGGAAGAAGGTTGCAGCCGTGGGCGTTCCTGTGAACAGCTGGAGGCTGCTGCAGGTCTGCGATCAGCCGAAATCGGGCACCCCAAGGAAAGCCCCGTTCTGGCCACATGGTGTCCTCTCAGAAGACCCCACCAGCTGGTGGGCACCCCGGGGCCCCTGGTGGGAAGAGGGCAGAGGATATGCTGGCGCATGGACCGATTCTCCTAAGTCTCCGGTGGAGATGATAGGAGTCTGGAGAATGGGTCAGTGTTGTGGCTTATGGACTGCTCTGTGGAAGGGGCTGCTGCTTTGATAGGATCAAAAGAGCTCTGCAGCCAGGCGCGGTGGCTTATGCCTGTAATACCAGCACTTTGGGAGGCCGAGGAGGGAGGATCACTTGAGCCCAGGCGTGAGACCAGCCTAGGCAACATAGCAAGACCCTGTCTCTTAAAAAAAAAAAAGATAATTTGACTTGTTAGGGAGGCAGTCAGGAGGATTTTGGTGATTTTTACATACTTGGGTTGAATGGTCTCTTTGCTTTATTCTCCATAGATGAGGCTGCTGGTATTTGTGGTGTTGGCTCTGTTTGCCACCACTCAAGCAGAAGAGGGAGCCAGGCTTTTGGCCTCCAAATCACTGCTGAACAGATATGCTGTGGAGGGGCGAGATCTGACCTTACAATACAACATCTACAATGTTGGCTCTAGGTAAGGAGGCCCTGGCGTTACAGATTAAGTCCTTTTCTGGATTCTTAGTTCTCAAATGGGAATAGGGAACATCTTGGTGGGTAGTGATTTCTCTTTGGGAGATCTCCAGCATTAGGGATCTTGAGTGAAATGCATATACTACTGGACCTACTTTTGGAAGAAGAAAACGTTCTTACCTAAGCTACAAGGAACCATCTTTCACTTTTTTGGGTTCGAAGAATTTCAGCATAGGGAAGAAACAAGAATTGTGAAGAAACAAGGAGGGGAAGAGGAAGACACAGGATATATAAAGTTCCAGCCAGATGCAATGGCACACAGCTTGGGAGGAGACGGGCAACGGGAAGAAGGCTGCAGCCGTGGGTGCTCCTGTGTGAAGGATAACTAGAGGCTGCTGCAGGTCTGAGATCAGCCACAATCAGGCACCCCCAGAAAAGCCCTGTTCTGGCCACATGTTGTCCTCTCAGAAGACTCCACCAGCTGGTGGGCACCCTGGGGTCCCTGATGGGAAGAAAGCAGTGGCTATGCTCTATAAAAATAAAAGAGATAACTGGGCATAGTGGCATGCACCTATAGTCCCACCTACTTGGGAGGCTAAGGTGGGAGGATTGCCTGAGACCAGGAGTTTGAGGCTGTAGTGAGCCTTGACAGTGCCATGATTGTGCCACTGCACTCCAGCATGCAAAAAAAGAAAAAAGGAAAGAAGAAAATCTACAATCCCTTGCCACCTCAGGGGTTTAAATTTTCAGCTTCCTTCTTTTATTAGCCTATGAGCATTTGTGTTGCCTTTCTTTAATTTTACTCCCTTTAAGTTTCTCTTCCACTGGGCATGATGGCTCACGCCTATAATCCCAGCAGTTTGAGAGTCGGAGGCAAGAAGATTGCCTGAGACTAAGGGTTAGAGACCAGCATGGGCAACTTGGTGAGACTTCAACTCTACAATAAAGAAAAATTAGCTGGGCATGGTTGCTCACATCTTTAGTTCCAGCTACTTGGAAGGCTGAGGTGGAAGAATTGTCTGAGCCCAGCAGATAGAGGCCGTGAGCATGCCATTGCACTCCAGCTTGAGCAACAGAGTGATACTCTGACTCAAAAATAAAATTTCTCTTCCACATGCTCCTTGTTCCTCTCCCCTCCTCCCTCCATACACATTCATGAAGAAAAATTGAGGCAAGATCCAAAATCAAGGTAAAGAATTATTTTATACATTCTGTACTTTATAAAATAAAATTTTTAAAAACTGAGGCAAGAATAGATTTGCTCCTAGATCCTTGAATATGTTGGTGCTTCTGAGCAAGAGAATCTAGTCCTTGACCTGAACTCTTCAGTACAACAGACCCAAGTTACTATGTGACTCCTGTCTCTTCTGCAGTTCTGATTTCTTGGGACAGATTGGCAGATTTGATGTTGATTGCTATAAATGTTACCCATTGGCTGGGCTTGGTGGCTCAGCCTGTAATCCCATGCTTTGGGAGGCCGAGGTGAGTGGATTGCCTGAGCCCGTGGGTTCGAGACCCGCCTGGGCAACTTGGTGAGACCTCATCTCTACAATAAGTCAAAAAATTAGCCAGGCGTGGTAGCGCGCGCCTGTAGTTCCAGCTACTTGGAAGGCTGAGACGGAAGGATCGCCGGAGCCCAGCAGGTCGAGGCTGCGGTGGCTGGGAGCGTGCCACTGCACTCCAGCCTGGGTAACAGAGTGAAACTCCCAACTCTAAAAAAAATAAATAAATAAATAAATAAATAAATGTTACCCATTACTTACAAATCCTTTTTGATTTCTCTGCTTTCTAGTGCTGCGTTAGATGTGGAATTATCTGATGATTCCTTCCCTCCAGAAGACTTTGGCATTGTCTCTGGAATGCTCAATGTCAAATGGGACCGGATTGCCCCGTATCCTCTGTACTGGGTGATGGGGGTGGGGAGTGGGGCATGTTCCATAAAACAGCAGGGGTGCTTCAAGTGGCTAGATGTGTGTGGCTGTTCTGCCATCTCTCTAGATAAGATGGGGCAAGAGCGACAGGTGTAAATTTGTGTGAGTGTGATTTAGAGTAGACCTGAAGAAGGAGGTTCCTGAAGTTCAAATTATAAGGCTCTGAGATATACTATATTGAGAGGGTGTAAACACTAATAAAGATGTCTGTGGCCAAGTAAGGATATGTAAGGTGCTTTTATTTATTTGTTTATTTTTGAGTTGGAGTCTCCTCTGTCATTCATGCTGGAGTGCAGTGGCATGCTCACAGCTGCCACAGCCTCAACCTGCTGGGCTCAGATAATCCTTCTGCTTCAGCCTTCCAAGTAGCTGGAACTATAAGCATGTGCCACCACGTATGGCTAATTTTTTGATAATTGTAGAGATGAGTTCTACCCAAGTTGCCCAGGCTGACCTCGAACCACTGGGATCAGGCAGTCCTCTCACCTCTGCCGCCCAAAGTGTTGGAATTCCAGGTTCGAGCTACCGTATCCAGCTTTTTTTGTATTTTCATTCATTTTTAGTCAATGAAAGATTCTTGTGAGCGTAAGTGACTATTTCATTCATAACATGTTTTGAGAATTTGTTTCAAAAACTTTGATTCTGAGTATAACGTGGACCCGTTAAAATTTAACTAAAAGGGCTCAGTGGCTCAGCCTGTAATCCCGTACCTTGGGAGGCTGAGGTGAATGGATTGCCTGAGCCCGCGGGTTTGAGACCCGCCTGGACAACTTGGTGAGACCTCATCTC